GAGAAACAAGGACTGAGAGGGATTCGAGGTCCAGGCTTGCTCTTCTACAACTTTGTCTCCTGAGGAATAACTCAGTCTGTGAAACCAGCATTAATCCCTTCTGAGAGCTATGCCCCCATTGACCTAACCACCTTCCACTAGTTCTCACCTGTTAAAGGTCCCACCATCTCTTAATACTGCCTCACCGGAGACATGGACCTTTGTGGGGACAAACCATATCCAACCACAACACACACTGATACATAAGTGTAACTGTTCTGTTCACTTACTCATATGCTTGTGGACTATTTTCTCCCTATAGTTCGCTTCACACTAGGAGGACAGGGACCTCATCCTGCTCACTCTGTGCTTGAATTCCCAGAGCAGGAAGTATAGAAACTGCTCCATGAGCTTCAATGAAAGGCATGCATGGAGGATGGTAAAAGAAGCTGTTGGTTGGCAAACACCCTCCAGGACTGAGATAATACTACCTGGCATTCATGGAGTATTTCCTAAGTGCCTGCAAGTTCACCTGCACCACATGGTGAGGCAGGGACTATTATTATTAGACTCCCTTTTTGCAGTAGGAGGCCTGGAGAGGTAAAGGTACTTCACCAAAGTCACAGGATTTTAGCTTGCGTCTCTCCAGTGGGATTCAGTGCCTCAAGACACCAACCCATCCACTCTACTATACAAGTTTCCGCATGCCTATTAATCTGCGTGTAAGGAGAGGAGAAATAGTTCACATTGGTAACCAGCTGGTCTCTTCCAGAAAACAAAAACGTCACCAGAGAATTCTATTGAAGTGATGCCATGGTGTCATACCAGGCGTATCAGGCAATTAGTAGAAGTTTTCTGACCCTCCCATGTTCAGCTCTCAGTGCCCATTGGTCCAAGCCCCTGGGCATCCTTCCTTGAGGGCACATGAGAGATGAACAAGGTTAGCGCCTTGCCTTACATTAAAAAGCCCAGTGGAACATCCACCTCACAACTCACCCAGCTGGGACCTTATCAATCCCCAGAAACCAATTCCAAGTTTTGACAGTGAACACGCCATGGGATATTAAGTGACACCTGGGGACTTATTAAAAGTTGACATGCAATTCACATCTCCCTTTACTTGTGTAAATTAAAAATCCCCTAATTATCATACACAGAGCTGCAGGCAGAAAAGTTTTGAAGCAGCTCAGAGCTAATGTGGCGACATTAGCAGTCCACCGTGGAGGGAGCGTCCCCAGATGGTTTTCCGATTAACAACAAGACATGTAGATAAAAATTAGCGGTGGCCCTCTTTTCCCTCAAGACACAAAAGTCCCAGAGCTTCAAACAACCCAATGCCACAGAACAAACTTTCACCCCTCAGCATGCAAAGCTGTGTGGCCCCATGCTAACAGCACAGACGGAGGTGGCCTCCAGGGCTGGGGGGCCACCAAAGCTTCTACATCCTCTGTTACCTCCCCCATCAAAATGCTCACCCTGTTGTATAAATTACTTCTCTAACACATACTATTTTTTTTTTTTGAGAAAAAGGAAAAAAAGAAGGTTTATTGCTTTATTAGTTAAGGAGAAACAGAGGATACTCCTGTCCGAGAGGTTGTGATTCTGCCCGTCAGCAGGAACAGGGGGCTTTTAAAGAGGTGTTTCAAAGGCCACATTCCATGGGATCTCTGTTGGAGTTGGAACTCACTTGTTAATTGGGGAGAGAGTCGTTTCTGAGACCTTCTGGTACCATCCCCAAAGTCTGGATGACTTCATTCCTGTGGTGGGTATGTACTCAGGGACAGGTAGCTGCCTAGGAAGGGGAACAAAAGTA